GGCTCCTCCTCACATCACAAATCCGCACTAATAAATGACCTTTTAATCCAGACTCAAACCGATTGTCCGTAAAAAGAATATAATCTCAGTGTTTGGATCTATGTCTGCGCGTGTAAACAAACACACGTGAGTGACGCGACTCTGTGGTGTGTTCAGGGACAGTACGGACACACACAAATGACTCCGTAGATAAACACTGATGTGGAGCCACATATTAGGACATTTATCCGTCTGTAAATTGGATTAAAGGAACAGAATGTAGAGAGTCTAAACTTTATAACGAGGTATAACATGCCCACGTGAAAAACCGGCCTCTATCAGCAAGCATATCGGCCGATCGCCGATATGCCTAAAGTTGCCCATATCAGCCGATAATATCGGCCAACCGATATATCGGTCGGGCTCTAGTACCAACTGTTGGTCATTAAACAGTTATTTATAAATCTGACTAGTTTTGACTAGTTTATTTGGGCCAGAGTTACAAGAGGTCAGTATGCCATCACTGTCTCAACGTTTAGTACTCTGTCTAAGTACAGTTTGTTTTCACTTCAGATGTTATTCTTGGCCACATTTTTTCCAACATGGGAAGGAGGAGCCGGAGTTTATGACTTTGTTGGGGTATGTTTGACATGAACACCTATCATTATTTACATTCCATGTTATGGGATTAAAACCTACCTTGTGTTGTCTCCAGGAATTCATGAAGGCAACGGTAGATTTGGCCGACCTGCTGGGCCTCCATCTAGTCATGTCTCGTAATGCTGGTAAAGGAGAGTACAAAATCATGGTGGCTGCTATGGGCTGGGCAACAGCTGAACTGATAATGTCCAGGTGAACTTTCTGTTCAACTTGGTATTCATTTTGGCTTAAAAGTTACTTGATTATCACATTAATTTAAATCCTGTTCATTATTTTGCATTATTCAGATGTCTTCCTTTGTGGGTTGGAGCCAGAGGCATTGAGTTTGACTGGAAATACATTCAGATGAGCTTCGACTCCAACATTAGTTTGGTGAGTATCTTGTTTAATGCTGCTTAGTTTAATTCTTGGAATAAATGTAACCAGATCTTGAATGTTTTTAGGTCCATTACATCGCAATGGCAGCAGTTGTGTGGATGTTCACCAGATACGACCTTCCTAAGAGCTACAGACTGCCAGTCACTGTGCTGTTGACTCTTTGTGTCTACAAGGCATTCCTCATGGAGTAAGCACCAGACAGACCATCATAATTGATCACTTGCACTTACTTCACAAAGAGTTAACCTAAACCCTGAGTTAGTCACCGTAGTAACTCACTCTGTGAACCTAACCGGGTTCAGGGTTAAGCTAGAATCTGTCTGGAGGACAGCTCTGATTGGACAATTCACTTATCCATTTAAAGAAGTACTGGAAACATTAAAAAAAAAAAGATTTAATGATGAGGATCTAATTTTTAAGTGAATCTATTTTCCACGTTTACAGTTTTTTGTTTCAGTTTGTAATTTACAGTATAATGTAACACAACTCACCATTTGTGACAATGTCTTAAATTAGTTTGGTCAAGATAATCAGCTTGAAATCCAGTAAATAGATCAATATATTTAGTTATTTGTTGTCTTAATTTCTTAAATGTATTTAAAAGTACAATTTATGTTACTACACTCCAAATAGCTGAAATATGGGAAATTTTAGTGCAACATGTGGTTAGTGATGGTGTGTAAAATTAGTTTTAAATTTAAAATTGTATTAAATTAGCTCCAAACTTGTGGAAAATAATGTGTTTTAATGCATTGTACTAATTATTTATTAAAAAGTTAACTTAACGTCCTGTTTTAATAGCAAACCTGAGTTTAACTTTTACACAGTCACATAACTTCTCGTCCCTGTAAAATGAAAGCCTCTGGTTTACTTTTGTCATGCCCTCCTCTCTGATGGAGTCCACTGATCATGGCTTTTCTCCTCAAATAAATTCGAGTTAAATAAACTCTGAAACTCTTGAAATAGGGCCTAGGTCTGCGGAGCTGCAAAACCCCAAAAAACCTTGCCATTTATTACATTTTAAACATGCTGGCAGATGTTGGCAGTTTATACCTGAATATTTGTACTGGATATTGGTAATTGATTTATGCTTTCCTGCCTTGTGTGTTTTTTAGGTTGTTCGTTCACGTTTTCCTGTTGGGCAGCTGGACCGTCCTTTTGGTGAAAGCTGTGGTGACCGGTGCCATCTCTCTTTGTTCACTCTTTCTTTTCGTCACCTTGGTCCACAATAACTAAAGGCGCCACAACCACCAGAGAAAATCCTTGTGGACTCAAGACTGGACAGAGGTTCAATACATGAAACAAGATGTTAAATTACCTCTGGGACTTTATAGACCAAGATGGTAGTCTGATTTGAATAACTCCTGACATCTTAAGATTTACATGTTGTAATGATTTGATTTAGTATTAGTTTTTATACTTGGAGTATAAGATGTTGTGAAATTTGATGATGAATAGAGAGATTTCTAATGAATTAAAATTAATGAGTGTTAATGGGACTTAAGAGAATTAAAGGAACCGTATCTGCGCTATTAGTTTAAACCAGTATAATAAATAGGCAATGCCTCTTGTGAAAACTATCACCTTCACTCACTGAGCCGCAGAGGCTGCACTAGCACTGATCAATAATTGGCTGCAGGTACTGGGGGTTGGGTAGTGATGATTCAGTTCAGAGAGACCTTTTACGTTTTAACCACCTAGATTTCAGCATTGGAACTGGAAGCCCAAATGTGAGGCTCATTCCGTTTTCAGAATCATGTCAGACTAAAATGCCATATTATAACATAAACAACCTGGCCATCATGCCTAATGTTTTTCTAATTAATAATAAAATCAGCATTACAGTTGTTATCTTATATGGCATTATGCTTTGGTTATGTTTATAGAATTTAAAATCAAAATCTTAAATATAGTTTAATTTATACCACAACAAGCTACTGCCTGGGGGACAGATACAGAATTACTCCCAAATTACCATAAAGAGAACCTCTTTGCAGGATTATAATTCTGCACCATAATAAATTCAGTATGAAATATTTTGGTAGGAGACAGACCTTTATGTTTCATGCCTTACTAAAGGAGTGGTCTCAAATCTCTGCTAAATGCACATATTTGAATGATTACTTGCTTTGACCACCAGTCTGTAGCCATCTGCTTCTTTTATGTTCTGCTAATCCTCAGTGGGAAAAAAAAGTTTAGCCACAGCTGGTTTATATTAACAGAACTATACTTGGTAGTCTTGTTGTCAATTGTGTGTTGTGTGTACAATAAAGTAATTTTAATACTGCACTTTTCATCTCCTATAAGATAATGAGGAAATTCCAGTGTTTAAGAACAGTAGGAAACATGCAAGCAATCAATAATCACAATAAATAATATTAGATAGACTAGAATCTGATCAATCAAACTAGAATATTATTAATACTTTGAATAGAGTTAAGACACATAAAGGCTTAAAGGGCACATATTACGCAGTTTTCTGATCTGTTATATTTCCTAATCACAAACATACCTGGAGTTGTGTTTTGTTTCAGTCACATGTTTAGCACACAAATCCTCCTTGTGGATGTCATGGTAGTCCAGGAAGTACTCCACAATGTTTTTAAACTCCATACACCTTCACTGCACTCATTTGGATGATTTCATGGAATTTCCATTGTCTTCTAAACTAAAAGTAAAATGTTTCTGTTAACTTGAAAACTACCAGTACATGGCAGCACAAGGTGGAACTGAGCCTAATAATAATAATAATAATAATGATAAAGGATTACTCAAACACACAACTCCAGGTTTGTTTTTGATGAGGAAACAGCATCAATAGACCTACATCATTGTGCAAGGACATTTGAGGGCATTAAAGGTGCTGCTTCTCCCACACAGCTCAAGTTACAGAACCACAGTGTGAAAGAAAATAAGACTCGCAGAAACAAATCTACTCAAAGCATGGATCTCACTGGATCTTGAAATTTGACCAGTATGCTTCCCCCCACCACAGTAGCTGTTTGACCTGCTGCTTGTTTGTATGTCCTACATAAAGCCCGCTCCATCACTTCGCCCTAAAGACTAAAGAAAAAACATTTAACCATGCTTTTTTAGTGACTGCTCCAAAATTATGTATGTACGTACATTTCTTCTTAATTTGTGTTTATTTAGTTAGTTAGTTTCCAGTTTGAATTCATTGACATGTGGCAGTATGGGTTATATAAATTTGTGAACAGCAGGGGGCACCATCAACTAGTATAAATCCCTTTTGTGACATAAACGTCACTGGTTCAGTGATAAAATCCACTGACCCACAGGTTGGCAATGTGATTCCAGCTCTCATAGATAAATGCTGTTGCTGTGTCCTTGGACAAAGACACTTAACCCACCTCTCCCCCAGTGTCTGTGTACAATGATAAATGTATATGTGAATGGTCAAATTCAGGATTGTGCCCTTTGCCCTCAATGTGAGAGAAATACCATTTTATTATTTGATCTGATGTCTGCCTTCTGAACCCTCTATCATGTTTCCTCCATGGTTTCCTTCCCTTGTCTTGTCTGAGCTTTGGGACACCACTTAATATGGAGCATTTGATTGAATAAAGGAGAAGAAAGCAAGGGCCAGGGACAAATTCATATGACCTTTGACCCCACAAAGGTCACAGTCAGGTGTGGAATAAAGTTGCCATACAGCACACTTGTATGTCCTGACATTTACGAAATATAGATAGGTATAGAAGTACAAAGGTAATAGGTAATAGGTTCTGTGGAATAGCACACCACCCTCACAGCAAGAAGTTCCTGGAGCCATTGTACCAATTACGTTGCAGCATTGTGGTTTGCAGGAGAAGACTAAACAAAACAAACTGGTGGTACAAATGAGAGCTGTTTCCAAATGGTAATGTGAAGATCTCCAATCACAAGTGATACATAACAATTTGACTTCTGCAGATTCCAGTGAGACTTTCTTGGTCAAATAAAGGCTGTGAAACCTCTGCAATTTAATCTTAAGTCTACAGTTACATTCTGACCTGTTTCTCATCTTCATACATTATATACATGTTACAGCAATGCAACATTTGTCAAAATGAATGAAATCGATTTATAATTTTACATTTTTATATAGTGCTTTTCCATTTTCAAGGTGGTCAAAGCGCTTTTGTATCAAGGAACCACTCGTCCATTCACGTACCCATTTATACACCACTGTATATAGACACTGGAGGCAAGGTGGGTTAAGCCCCCAAGGTCACAACAACCATATTCATACTGGAATCCCACTGTCCCCCTTTGTGTCAGTGGTTTTGACTGCTCAATCAACGATGTTTATGTCAAGAGTGGGATTCAGACTGGAGATGTTATAAATTTACTTATTTACTGCACTTATTACAATTACAGGTCTTTATATTACCTTGAAAAAAATAAGCTTTCTATGTGTGTAGGGTCACTTCTATTGAGATCTGATCCAACGTGCGTTCATGTAATATTAAATATTATACTGTGCAGATTCCAGACATAACAATGGCAATTATCAAGGGGTTAAGCAGGTAGCAGACTCTAGAGAAAGGTAATGTAGTGTACCTTCAATAAACTGCAAAATAAACTATAGAATATGCAAAATAAATAAATTTTGACTCGCCCAAATGCACCATTTCTAGTTTTGTAAATGTCAGTTTTCAGTTGAGTGTAAATGTATTTTATTTTACTGTGGTTTCATATAAAACAAAAATGATGATGATTTAAATGGATACCTTTACTGGATATTTTACAAAAAGGCCATCTATTGAATATTTTGAATAAAACATTTAAGTATCTGATGATTGTGTTGGTGTGCCCCTCCCTGGTCTTTCCCATGGGCTCTGACACTGGTCCAATTACAGCATGGCCTTTAGTTTTACAGTGCGTATGTGTACGTGTGTGGTTTGTGTGTTGCCTGTGTTGTTTGTGTGTAGTGTCTGCAGACCCGGTGGTGCCTGCTCAGGACACCCACCTTGGAGCTTGTCCCCTTGCCCTGCCTTGACTGCCCCACAGGATGCCACTGCACTTTGAGGATCTTTTCTCATCAGCACATTATAGCACCAATACAAAGACGTATGATCTTCTAAAAGTTTCTATCATTCATTTGGTCCAAGTCTCTAACTTCCTCTGCCTTGAACCCTTGAGCCAAACACAAACAGTTCAACATCAGTCGATGTGATATAATGTAATATAATTTTTGCATTTTATTTTGTTATGTGTTTGTCATTTTCAGGTCAGGTCTACATTATACTTATAGGAAGGCAAAAGAAGTAAGTAGATGTAATAATGAGGTTTTAACACATGTAGATAGAATATTAGATTATTTAGTGTGTAAATGTGCTCGACAAAG